TTCATTCGTTTCGTAGGAATGCGAGTGGAAAATGTTTTACACGCGCAAGAGAAAGAAATTGCTTGTTTCTTGATTTTCTTATTGGTTTTCTTAGGGGTTTGAGAAAGTCTCTTTCTCGTCTTTCTAAGATTAATGGTAATCAATGGAGAGTTTAGATGTCAGTTTTGAGCTCGAAATAACCAACGGTTGATGATTTAGATAAATGGACGAAACATACATCTTAGGTCGGGTCCGTTCAATGAAGTATTTTTGTAAGATGTTGTTCTTGGACATTGTTTAGAGAGAAAGGTTCCAGCCGTTGCTTTTGTTGGCGCTGTTATAAGGCGTATGGCGATTAACGATCACACCTTGTGGAATTTCGTTGGATTTCTCCTGGTTTGAAATGATTTATATAGATGTAAGAATAGCGTAAAAAGTTTGAGGGAGACAGGTCAGAAAGCTATCGTCGACGAAAGTAGTAATATGAAATGTAATATGTAGAAATATAATATAAACATTCCATTGGAAGATATAAGCAACGCTGCTCGAAGAAATAAAAGATTAAATTCCGGCAAAAATTTGTCTGCGTCTGACAGAATTCTACTAATACATTATTTTGGCAATATTTGCAGAGCTGACAAGGAAAAATCGAAATTCCAACAAGAGGTATACGAACTCCTCGCCCAGCTGGACAATGTGACGAAAGAAAAATTGATGTCAATAAAAACTGTGGAGAAACTCGAAGTGCATGTAGCCGAACTTAACGTGAAAATTGAAGAATTGAATCGTACCGTCATCGACATCACCAACCACAAAACCAGGATCTCACAGGAAAATATCGAATTGACGAAGGAAGTGCAAGACTTGAAGGTAAATAATTTCAAATTAATTGAAATTCATACTTGATACAAATGCATCAGCCTTGCTTCAACAAAGAGAAAAGAAGTTTTCCGAACTTCTGGAAAATGGCCCTCACGATTTAAAATTATCTGGCACTATCGATAACGCGATCAGTGTTGTATCTCTAGCTCCTTTTTATTACGCTTTTTTTAATGATTTGATAATAATTTGTTTTATCGTAGGTTAACATCGAGAACGCTGTTTACCTGAAGACTCAGCTGGCGGGTCAGCTCGAAGATGCTCGTCGTCGTCTCGAGGATGAGGATCGTCGTCGTTCATTGGTCGAAGCCTCCTTACATCAGGTATATGTTCTTTTAATTCTCTAGAAAATTACACATAAACGTGACACATTTAAATTACATTTAAATTGTATTTCATTAATGTAATAAAACTGTCAACAGGTTGAATCGGAATTGGAATCCGTTCGCATTCAGTTGGAAGAGGAATCGGAAGCTCGTTTGGACATTGAACGTCAATTGGTCAAAGCAAACGGTGAAGTGCAAGTTTGGAGATCGAAGTATGAAACCGAAGCTAACGCTCGTGCCGAAGAGGTAACTGAAAAGAACAACTCGAAACTTTAGAAGCAAAAGCAATCGTTGCTTCGAAGCGCATAAATATATATAGACAGAGTTTCTGTTAGTTTGGACCTTTGGAGTAAAAGGTGGATTGAATTTTACAGGTAGAGGAACTACGTCGTAAATACGGAGCTCGCATTCAGGAACAGGAAGAGCAGATCGAAACTCTGCTCGTCAAGATCAACAACCTCGAGAAGCAGAAATCCCGCCTCCAATCTGAAGTAGAAGTGCTGATCATCGACTTGGAAAAGGTACAATTTCAAAACTTCTACTATTCTATGCTACTTTTTCACATATAAATCATCTTTTAAATTAAACTAAATCAACTTCTAAATCATATTCTTTTCTTTTTTCAATACAATTGTCGAATACGACTGATAACTCCACGATTTCGTTTGGAATAGTTTTTCACGGAACAAAATGTATAAATAAAGCATTGTTGTGGGACAAACATTGAGTTAGGTGAAAATATTCGTAAAAGATTGAATATATTTTAATCTGTTTAAAGTTCACAATTTGCAACTTGTACGTAACATGATATTCCAATTGCAGTCATCAGCATTTTATTTATTTACGAATTTATCAATTTTTAAGGCCAATGGAACAGCTCGCGAACTGCAGAAACGCGTGGAACACTTGGAGAAGATCAATATCGAACTCAAGGCCCGCTTGGATGAAAGCGTGGCAATGTATGAACAAAGCCAACGTGATCTCCGCAACAAACAACAAGAACTCCAGCGCACCAACGCCGAACTCGATAAAACTCGCGAGCTGAAAGACCAACTGGCCCGTGAAAACAAGAAATTGGGAGGTGAGCAATTTCATAAGATTCAATCGACCGATATTTTTCCATTTTCTATTCTCTATTTTATATTTATCTGACATTTATATTATTACACGTCCGTAAATCATCAAGCACTTAATAAGATTAAAATAGGGATAAGTGAAAGCTGAGAATACAAAATATCGATGGCATCCATTAACTATTTGTATTATACGAAAAAATTGTACTCGGTTTCAAAGATTTTATTGTAAATCTATCGTAACACGTATTATATTTAAAATTAAATATAGTAAGTGTCTGATGACTTACAGTAGCGGATAAAAAAAGTTTAAACGCTGAACATACGAAAGAATAGCGTAATTTGACAAAAATAACAAATAAATGCAATATACATATATCTCGAAATAGATTGTATAATCAAAAAGGGGAAGAATACACCAAAGTTACAAAATTGTTAATATTTATACAAATACTATGTTTAAAGTGTTTTTTACCCGCTATTGCGTATCAAGTAAATGAAAAGAACGTGTGTGTAGTTAATTTCTTACCTTTAAAAAAGTAAATAAAATATCATAAACGAGGTATAGAAATAATTTTACATCAACTACTGCGTTATTGTTTTAGATGACTTGAACGATGCCAAGAACCAGCTGTCTGATATGAACCGCAGACTTCACGAACTGGAACTCGAACTCCGTCGGTTGGAGAACGAGCGTGAGGAACTCGCTGCCGCCTACAAAGAAGCCGAAGCAGTAAGTGGAATTTATTTATTTAAAGCGGTATTTATTTCAGTATCTTTAAATTTCTAAATTTTTTATAATATACATTGTCCTTATAATTGATGGATTTGTAATAGCAACACTTAAATTTGATTTGTAGGAAATTAATGATTAGAAGCGTCGCTTATTATCTTACAGCCGAATTTTTCTCAGTATATAAAATATTACCATTTCGAAATTAAGTTAATCATAATTTCTCTATTAATTTGGAAGAAAATTATACGACCTGATATAATTTCATAAAATAGTAGTGAAATGATAATCAGAAATATCATTTTCCCATATTATCCTCTAGAAATCATTTGGCTATAGTGTAGGAAGTTGAAAAGTTCGAAATATAGAATTGTTCGTAAAAGAAAATTGATCGCAGGGACGCAAGATCGAAGAACAGCGCGCTCAAAGATTGTCTGCTGAGTTGACTCAACTTCGTCACGATTACGAACGCCGCCTGACTGAGAAGGATGAAGAAATCGAAATCATCCGGTAAGTAATTAAATTGCGTTTGTTGTGCTTCTCCTTAAATTGCCCATTCAAATTTCATTATAATTTGCAATATTAATAATTTACGATTTTTTGTTACTAACACCGATGTTTAATTCTACGATGTTATTATTGCAAACGCATAGAGAATATAGTTTCCAGGTGACATATTTAACGTGACGTAATGATCTTTCCATTTATCTCCGTTTATCTCTTCGTTGAAAATATTGAACCGTGGTATTAAGAGACTTATTTCCGCTTTCGTGTCATATACGTACGATGATAGACGACATAAGTCCTTCCTCTTTTTTATTAGTAGAGCAACCGATTCATGCGAAACGTTTTAATTCTAAAATAGCGAAGGTTAAACCAGAATTTAAATGAGAAATAGCCAGAAAAGAGTTATTTCTATTCAATGAAATCATATTCTTTGAAGTCGATAAATCAATATTTTATGACATTTTTGACAAAGTATGCAGTTCTAAAAGTATCTCTGGGTCATATCCACAGCCGGTGATTAAATATAAAGTTAGAAAACATATGCGTTATTTATAGCAATAAAACGGTAATTCTAGAAAATCAATGATAAATTTAATCATTTTCATAATCAGAGATCAAATTTCCAGTAGAAACGAAAATCTCATTTTCCAACTCGATTATAGCTCAAATATTATACTATTTGTTATCCTCTAAAGTTGTATGATCTATGTCACACTTACGTACGACCATTATTTAACACGCATACGAGTTATGTAAGTGTTACAGAAAATCTATAAGCCAATATTACTTTCAAAACACTTTTCGTACGAACGTAGATCTGAAAAGTATCTATACGGATATGCGAATTTTTAACTTAGCCTTGATGCAGTTGGCTTTATTTCCGGTATAACTAACCAATGATATTCACCTATTAATAAAGATACGGTTAATTCTGTCATCGATCAGCCGCATCGATTAATCATCCAAGGTATTTTTGTATCGATCGAAAACACTCGAGTGAATATCCTGTTGTGATCTAGTTACTTATTTAAACGAAAATGGAAATTCAATCAGCATGGATCGACAAACGGGATTCGTCATCGAACGATGATCAGACCTGACAACTTTGTTTCTGTTTGGCTCGGGTCTCATCGGTACCGAAATGCCAAATGCCCGATACACACGTATATTGATTATGTCATTGTGAATGGGGTTTGTAAGAACCACGTGCTACGAAAAAAGAAACGATATGTTTCTTTACCTGAAGAGGAGAACGGAATCCGATGAAAAGTATTAATAAAAATAAAAACATTTAGGAGAAACGAATACAAAATACGATAAATGTAAATCATTTAAAAAGAAGATACATACAATACTATAACATGTTATGTTGTATACTGTACATATTCTATTTTTCTATACCGAAAAATATTTTTTCAAAAGGAGTGTTTAAAAGAATTACAACTACAAAATTTGACTATTTCGAAAAGATACATATTTACATCTCCAAAGAAATAATATCGCTGTTACCACGCTATGTAATAAGGCTCAAAATTAAGAACATCGTTAAGGAAAAAAACACGACGTTACCTACATGAAAAATTGACAACAGTATTATCAACCATTTTCAACGGTATCTTAAAGAGTATCGTCGTTCTGTAATGACATAAAGATTATTTGGGGTCATTAATTGAGGATGATGCATAAAGAGTACGCAATCCTACTATTAATAAACGTCGTTCAACACCGATCAGTCACGATCTAATTATTAGCCGAGTGGTGCTGATTGGCCGTTCTCAATGTGGCAATCGTAAGGAAAAAGTACAAAAGATAGCAGCGCGCTTGACCGGCCTAATTTTTCTCGACCGTTTCGTAGCAACTGTCACCTCCGATCGTTCGACAATGAAAAATCTGTGAGTAAAAAAATCAGGGAATCTCCCATAAAAACGAAGTCCTGTATCTAACACATTTAACTCCACAAACACCGAAAGAAATACAATACGACAATCCTTTCTATTCAAGGTAGATGTTGGATGAAACATTAACAATACCCATACAAATACTCGAAAAAATAGATCCGCCAATTCGTCAAAGTGTACATTTCGAAGAAGCAGTTTGTCGGTGGTCGATATCTCCCAGTGAAGATCGATACTTGTGATATTATACATTGTAATAATAGCAAAGACAGAATTCGCAGAAGGAGAAATTCAAGCATAGATAAATCTCAAATATAGGTTTGGAGAATTTAGAATTCAAATTTTTATTCGATTGAAAGATTTAATCGGTAAACAAGACGATCAATACAAAAGTTTCAGCGAAGAGAGCAATACTCCTAAGCAAAATAAAAACGAAGAATATTTTAAGACACTTCCTATAAAAGCTTCGGAATCGTATGATACTCTACTCGAGACAAATAATTTGTCAGAAATCGCTTTAGAAAAAAACTGAGGGAAATTTTCCCACAGAGAAAACAGCTTCGGAAAGAAGAAGAGACGTTGATCATCTTCCAAGAAATTCTCTTCGTACGAACTCCTTTGCCAATCAGAAGAAGCTTTCAAACAACTCTTTAAGTAAAACTTGTGAAGAATCCTTTAAAGAGAAAACAATTTCCAAAGAACGCTTAAAGGCAATCCTCGAGTGAATTAAAAAAAAACCTATCTACCTAGAGAAACCGAAAAAACCGCGACAAACAAAAATGTCAAGCTACGTGCCGCCAATGCACGTGCCTTTGGAGCCAAAATGGAAGCACTGGCCCACCTACATTTACGACAAGAACTACAATTACGGGATCAATTTCTATCAACCGATGCTGGATCACATCGATCGGCAAGCTCGATGTTCCTCGCTGCCGCGCGATTATTGCGCTCGCAAAACAGAACCACCGGAATTACCCTGGTCAGATGGTAGAGCGTTATGGGAGGGCAAACCGATCGAAACATACTCGAAACACGAGCTGATCAGACGGGCGATCGATGCTGAGGACGAGGCCAGGGATCATCTGTCCCAGTTCAAGGTACGAGACTAGATCGGAGAGCGAAAGTTAGGCCGACTCGAGCGTGGAAAAGCGGTCGATTCGCGCGGTTAGGCGCCTTCGCGACTGCTTGACCTTTTCGTTCGCTAAATTTGGCGTCACGGAAGGAACTGCAACAACGTAGACGGACTTTATACGACGCTGAATACTCGGCGAGGTTGCTGCCGTCTTTTAAACAGACTTCTGTCAATCGAACGAGCGTAAGAATGAATTCCTCTTGAGAGGAAAGTCATGGTCGTTGAAAATCGATTTGGTGACTTGGGTGGGGCATGCGTAATTCGAGTGAATGGGATTTCTTTGTTTGAGAATTGGCTTGGAAGTGACGGGCGTACGATGAGATTTGGTTTAAGCTAAGTTTTAAGTTTTTGGATTTTGACGTTTGCTTCCGGCGGCCAGACGTACGTGTCGATCGTTCTGTAAGCAGTGAGATTCTTCTAAAAGTTGAAGTTAAACTGTGAAGTAACGCAGTGCGTCGCAATAACAAGTTTTATAAAAGAGGAACAAGGAACTTGGAGTTAGAAAAAGCTAGAAGTGTTTATAAAGGATAAAGGAAAACGTAAGATTGATCGATAATGATCGATAGATAGCTGATTATTTGTATCTAATATATGTACCGGAAAAACTGCATTGCTTGTGCTATTACTTAACGTTACAGAGATAGTTATATAAGTACGTAATTTTTAAAAATTCCATAATTATAGTTTTATAATTTTTAAAAATCAGATACGTCAGAATAATCTTGAAATAACTGATTCAGTGGTAAATATTATAGCGATTACAGAGACTAAGTTATATAATTTTTGCGATACAAATATCTATAGGTACAATATATTTTCTTGAATATCTTTGAACACATTAAAACGTGATGTTTGACGTATTTCGGATTTCAAGACTGTGCAATATAGTGGAATGGAAGAGTTGGCAGTATTCTGTTCAACAAATAAGTTACTGTTTACGCTATTGTTTAATTCTAAATGCACGAGATAAATTTAAACAGATATTATTTATTTGCTTCTATAATATATGTTTCCGATAATACATATATATACTGCCTATATAGTCAACGTTTTTATATAAATCACTTTTCAACGTTCTTCCGTTTGAAAATATATCTTTAACATTTCTGTTTATCCTTGAAATTTTATTCAATAGAACATGATATACAGCCGAAAGGTAAAATCCTATCGTCACTGGAATAAAAATTTCGAAACATAAAAAAGGAAATATAGATTAGAAACCGATCGTATTACTCTCGAAAGTTCTAGTTTTAGAAAGTCTTCTATAATTCATTGTCAGCCCAATAACTCGAGCCTGTGACGCTCCATTGCCGCCCCACTGTCACCAAATCTTAATTTAACACGGTCAGAGCGAGTCATTGGCAAGAAATGTTCGGCGTAAAATGAAACCTATTATAGTTGCGCGATAGAAAGCGGGAATTCCAAAATTTCTTATTGTTATTAATACCGTGCAACCTAAGCCTCCGTCATTGCTCTTATATTTACCGATTCAGTGTAAGGAAATAGATATATATCGCGGAAGCGGTAACATCTGGCAGGCAGTTAGATCTTTCCGTAATTCACAATGGAAGCAATGAAACGAATCGAGACGCAACTCAGAAGGGTGCCAAGTCTCGCGGCGCGTACATTAAAAAACCCATCTCGCGTCCCGTGTGTCCCGGGGCCGGGAAGCTAGCAGCTTGCTCAGATTGGCAGTCGTTCTCGAGTCTCTAGAGAGAGTCGATCGAGAGTGTGCATCGGTCACTTTCGAATTCTGGACCGCTGCGGCTAAGTTTAGGCTCAGTCGAGACTACCCTCAGACCAGGGAACGATCGTAGGAAAGGGTCGCGTTTGTGAAAACCACGATTTCTAATCGCTTTCGCTCTTCGTCTCGACATCTTTTTCTGTTTTTTTTTTTCTAATCATCGCGATTAATCGCGTCGATCGAACGTGACGATCAAAATCGACGATCAACCGCGAAGATCGTGGGGGTGATTTATGCGAGCACGGGTCTGACCTGGTGCTTTCGTCTTCTTAAAGATAGCGAATCGGTCCGACTTCAGTTTGTCGAAGACGGCGCAGGCCAGCCACGTGACTAGAGAAGTATTTCCACGAAAATTTGAAGATTTCCGGCTAAAACCGTTGCCCTTGCTCGTGGATAGTGCACGCACCAAAGCTGAGGCTAGACAGCTGCAACGTGAAATGGCCGACATCGATTTCCGATCGCTGAGAGACGTGCAACACATGTCCGAGGTACAGGACGCCCTCGATCATGGAAGAAGTCTGCGTGGTAAATCAGCTAGAGCGATCGAGTTCCATTTAACGGCGGAAGCTCTGAAGAACTTGAACAAGAGTCAAGAATTGGCCGATATTAGAAAGTACCAGAGGGAGACTGCCTCCGCGAATTATTCGTGGGACTGCAGAGATCATCTGAAGTTAATGGAGGAGAGAACGAGGAATTTGTTGGATGAGGATAGATTGACCGCGCCGTTGAACAGCCTGAGCAGGGAGCTGAAAGGATACGAAGAGAAGTCGAGCAACTACTACCTGGACAAGAGGTATCGACACCCGACCAGACCGAGACGATTATACGGATGCCTGGGAATCAGGCCCGCTTGAAAGGATGGAAATTCTAGTAGATTAGTTTAACCGTGTGGGTAAGATTAATGTGACACGGAACAATGAAGAGAATAAACGATAAATGAGAAGTAATTGCACTGTCGTTTGATTCTCAGAAGCTTGTAATTGTAGATTAGGCGAGTAACGATTTGTTGAAGAAGAAAATGTTTTGATTAGACGAATTTTTGTTTTACTTTTTTCTCTATTCATTATGCCTTTACAGGTATTGAAGCTTTGTTTAAAACATCGGCACATATTTATAAGAAAAATTCACCTCCATGCAGGATAACAATCATCTCTTTTCATCAAATATTCGTCATCAAATTTTTCATCAAATATTTTTTATTCTCTAGATTTAGATTCGTTGACTCCGACTTCTATTCAATTTTGAGATTTTTTAATTCGAATTTTATTTAGAGTAGCTGCAAGTTCGTAACTCTTTGACTTCGATATCGGATGAAATAACCATCATCTTTTCTAGACGTCAAAGAAACACTAAAGTAAATTACGTGCATCTTCCTTGTTACATAAATACACTTTCCACTTGTGATATGGTAATGCCTCCGAAATCACTGCATCCGTTGCCAAACTAACTATGCATTAAAGCAGCCGAACTAACCCTGCATCGAAATAGATAAAGCACAAAGAATGCCCAACCAAAGTGTTTCAAAACATCCCGGTAATCTAACACTCGTTGCATTACTAAATACGTTACTGGTAAAATGTCAAACATTTCTAAACGTGTTAACCTTGGATATTCACCGATGATGCGGTTTTCTCGCAAACAATACCAACGAGAGAAAGACGTGGTATCTTCCGACGATCCAAAATTCTTGCTGTTGTCACCTGGAAACAATAATCTGGTTTGAACCTTCTAAAACGATTGAAAGGGGTAATCGTATTGTTCATACGGAATGAAATAAATTAGCAAACAGACCAGTATCGAGATCGAGCAGCTGAATGCCCGCGTGGTTGAGGCGGAGACGAAATTGAAGTCCGAGGTGCAGCGCGTGAAGAAGAAGATGCAGATCCAGATCACCGAACTGGAACTGTCTCTGGACGTTGCCAACAAGAACAACATCGACTTACAGAAGACCATCAAGAAGCAATCGCTCACTTTGACCGTAAGTAGAACCTGATAGAATAAAAAGAAGTTTATGTTAATGCGTTGGCTGATTATCTGACATTTAACGAGTTAAATACGACGAGACAAATTGAAGTTAAAGAACAGATTTTTATCAATACAAAATGGTGATATTTAATTTTACTTTGCTATATTTGATTATTTAACCATTCTATTTAGGTGATTCAATGTTACGCGTATACTTTTAATAAAATGTTCTAATGCGTCTTTTTAATTTAGTTTTGGAGTTTTGCCAAAGAAATTAATTCCTAACACGAAATGTATCGATAAAATTAGTTCTGAGTCGATACATATGTGGAAATCTCACCCACCTGTAGTAATGACATCCTTACGAAAATTTGTGCGTTATATGAGTGATAGGTGGCAGTTAAAAAAATAATGACGCTTATTTGGCAAAATACTGTGTATTTTAAACGCTGTGTCATTATCTTGTAGGAACTCCAAGCCCACTACGACGAAGTTCAACGCCAATTACAAGTGACCCTAGACCAACTGGGTATCAGTCAGCGACGCCTGCAATCGTTGACAGCTGAGCTAGAGGAAGTACGCGGCAATTACGAATCTGTAAGTATCGTATTTACTGTGAATAATTTATCATAAAAATTTAATATTTGTTCATTTGACATTACATATATTTACTTACTAAATTAATCTATTTTATGGTAAAGCAAAGATTTCGGTCCGTAGTGAATTAAAATTCTGATTGAATTTAGTTTCAAAATCTCCAGCTGTTTCTTTCACAATGCATTCTGTTGTGAAGAAATTGTCCACTTTGTTATTATTATTTTGATATTTTTATCTCTAAATTAAGGAATAAAACAAATTGAATTCAGATTAGATAGACGAACCATGGAATGATGAAATGGATAAAACGAAACGGCAGGATTTTCCACTCGATAGTTTGAATGAGCAATTGATGTTAGACAAGCTATAAATACATCAGACTAAACGGTGATGCTAAGCAGTAACTTCAAATGTACCAACCAGTTGCATAAAACTTTGATTCCTCTGCCACTAAGTTGATTCGTTTATTCTTAAACTTTGTATACTGAAATTATTGAAAAGGTCTTGACGAATTAATCGACATTTTTAATTTTCTTAATATTATGATCCAATATTTATAACAAAACAATGCAAGGAAAATTAATCTAATATGAAAGATCTTCTTAAAAAATGGAACAAACACAGTATCCATAAATCAGAAGAAAATTAATTGCATATTCTGCTTAACGCTTCAATTACCAATACGAGTTATCGTTTACTTAAAAAACCAAATCATGTAGTATCATTACCGTAAAATCCGCTTGTCTGCACTATGCCTATTCTTCTTTCGTCTCCACATGATAATAGATAACATAACTAACAATATTTTTAAAGGCCCTCCGTGCAAAGAGAACCGTCGAGCAGCAATACGAGGAGTCGGTTAGTCGCATCAACGAATTGACTACCATAAATGTGAACATCGCTTCATCGAAAGCGAAACTTGAGCAAGAACTGGCTACCCTGGCCGGAGACTACGAAGAAGTGACGAAGGAGCTGAGAGTGAGCGACGAGCGATACCAACGGGTACAGACCGAACTGAAGCACACCGTGGAGATCCTGCACGAGGAACAAGAACGTATCGTCAAGATCGAGGCCATCAAGAAGTCCCTTGAAATTGAAGTGAAGAACCTGTCCGTGAGATTGGAGGAAGTCGAGGCGAACGCTATCGTCGGTGGCAAGCGTATCATCAGCAAACTCGAGGCTAGGGTGAGTTTAAGATTCCTTCCATTTGATTTATTCCTGTGGACGACATTGTTATTTTCAGAAAGCAATAGAACGAAATTCATTAAAATACGTAACAGAAATTATAAACGACTGTTCGCCGTATGAAAAATGTTTGCATTCTTTTCCCCATAGGCTGTAAGAATCTAATTCCAATTTTTTAAATTAAAGGTTACTCCAACTAGATTTGTAGATCATCTTCAATTTATTATTCTAAAAAAAAATCCTTTTTGATTGGTACCAAATATTTTTAGTAGCATTAACGAAATATTAATGTAAAGACGACAAATTTTGGAAATTTTACCGTAGTTCTATCTACAAAATTTACCTATTTAATTACACTTATGCTACAGAGAAACAGTTAAACATTTATAGCATGCAATTCAATTTTTTATAAATTATTCCTTTACTTTGCCACACGAATGTTTCATTTCCACAAGGCAAATTCAACGTTTTTCGATTATTCTTCTAACAGATCCGCGACTTAGAGCTGGAACTTGACGAAGAGAAGCGCCGACATGCCGAGACTGTGAAGATTCTCCGCAAGAAGGAACGCAACATCAAGGAGGTGATGATTCAGGTAGAGGAGGACGCGAAGAACATTGCGTTGTTACAAGAATCGTTGGACAAGGCGAGCCAGAAAGTGAACATCTACAAGAGGCAACTGCAAGAACAGGAAGGCATGTCCCAGCAGAGCGTGACCAGGGTCCGCCGATTCCAAAGGGAATTGGAGGCTGCTGAAGATCGTGCTGATACCGCTGAGAGCAACTTGACTCTGATCCGCGCAAAACACCGCAGCTTCGTCACCACCTCCAGCGTGCCCGGTTCTCAGGTGTACCTCGTCCAGGAGACGAGGTCTGACCTGTAAAAACGCCATCGCCATCGACACCCCATCCTTTGCCACTTCGAACGCCACCTCGTCGTCTTTAGAAACGTACGTACTTGATGAATAAGTTATGTAAGTTTTGGCGAATGTGATCTAAAATAAAGATAAAAGATAATAAGATGAAACAATGGATCATTTCAGCTACATTATTAGTTATATTTTAGAAATAATCAAATACACGATACACGATTGTTGATCGATTGTTATTTACCTTAATGTTCGTCTATGACTCCTATGATCATAATTTCAATTAGATCAATTAATTTTACACTATTTGATTTTATTTTGTATTCTATATTTTACAAGATAAAAATCATGAAAAATTAAAAATAACTTACACAAAATTGTTTCATGATTCTTTGCTTTTTGATTACCTACCTACAATCCAATAATACCAGTTGATGTTACCATCATCTTACACTACGTATCTAAGCGTACAATTAAGGAAATATCGTGAGATTTCAAACGATCATCGGATAATTCAGTAAATTTATATTTTCGAAAATATACAGTTCCACGATTGTGTGACAGGTGTCACGAGCAAACGACGAAGAAAAGGAAGAGCCTCTATACGTCATCGTTAGTTGAAAGAGCCGAGAAGAGTTTCCAACGGGCCGTACCGCGAACATCGTAAGGAAGAAGCAACGAGGAAAAGAAACAGTATCGAAATGTCGTATCATCTTATTTAATTGTATTATGACAACGCCCAACGACCCGTCGCAAATTCAAAATACTTGGCCAACGAAACGCGGTACCCGTCGTAACGAACCAAATAAATGCAAAAACCGAAAGGGCATAAGCATTAATGAACAAACAACGTGAAGGAAGCAACCATCTTAAAACGCATAACACCGTCGCTATTCGATTAGATGGATTATCAACCCAAAAAATGAAAATATATACACATACATACATATTATACAATATTATACACGCAAAAAATCAACAACGATTCGTTATATCTTCCTTGTATCCGTTATGTCAGCATCACGAAGCGTAAGGAGTGGAAATATAATATTATAAATATATAAATAAATAAATAAGGAAAAAAGTAAAAGAAATTAAATGAAAAACGCGAGACGTAGATTTAACTTTTTCTCTCTCTCTCCTTACGCCTCTTTGATCGCGCGTGTCGCACTTGTATTTAAATGGATTAACTTTAATTCTACTTCTACTATTATATTATAGATAGGTATTATTGCCCATACACACAACTCTCACTGTACGACATACACGATAACCTGTGTCAAACAATAATTTAATAAATAAACTGAAACACGTACGTACGAAGCCGATGGAATACATTTCCTTCCATAGTTTGCAAGATAAAGATTAAACACTAATACCGATATATTCCTGTAACACATCCTATCGAAATGTATCGAGCTTTTTTGTAATTCTTCTTCTATTTCTTAATGTTACGATGATCCTTTAATCTATCCTCCTTTTTTAATACGTTTTATGCTGATAGAGAAAAGTTTAACCTTTCCGAAGCTAAATATCTTAGGAAGAAAAAATATTGTAAAATACCGTTCTAATACCGTGTTTATATTTTAATAATTATCGTAATATTTTATCACTGTAACTAACGAACCATAGAACTTTAACTACGAATGAAATTAATAAACTGTTGCTATATTTATAAAGAACACAAATTTTATTTATTACACTACAGCATGTGTGGTATGGAATTCTCAACTTTAATTACTAAAGTATAAGACACATATTCAGTTCTATTATCATAGCCTTATTAATATTAGCCTATGGACGTTCGTGCCATTTCATATTCGTATTTTTTATTTTCACAACTTTTACAAATATCGATATTGAGCAAATCCTGATTTTATTCAAATTATACCAATTAATATTATCGATATAAAATTTTAATCACATCGAAGACACGATATGCAAGGAGACGTTATCCTAGTCTAATAAATGAAGCACATAAATTCGTTAAAAAAATGTGATTGAATGATCGGAGGAATAAAAATGTATGCAATTTACCATTAGATGCAAGAAGTATCGTTATTAACGCTATCCTTTGCTTGCAGGAAGTTATCATGGCATCGAACCCCATAGTGATGTGTCAGTACGAAATCTATAACAAAAAACAGGATTCTATTAAATTTACAGCTTTAACGATAACGATTGTACAAATACATAAAAACAAAGATATCGCTAACCCAAACTTAACACTAAATATGGATATCATATTCAAGCGATTGCCATATCGTCATCTAATCTTCTCCGATTAACAGGTTAATTAAGAATAATAAATAAATAACGAATTGATATAATTTCACTTCGTGTCCAAAGCTTTTCCCTTCTGTACCCCTTTGCGAACAATGATATAAGGCGAGTTGGAGAAGATGTATCCTAAATACAAAATATGTACTCAAGATTAGAAATCATAAGAAGATAGTCACTAACGAAGTTCATAATCAGTTATATTAATGAAAATATACATTAAAATTTTAATTTTTTTTTTTAATGCGTCGTTTTGTTGCGTCTATGGTAATGAACAGGTTTAGTTGTAGATGTAATCACAAAACACTTGTTTTTTACAGCAATATCATTAAAAAGAATCAATTCGTTCAGTATCATTTACAAAAAAAAAAAAAAAACACAAATCGATATAATTTTTAGATGCTCAGATAGAGAATTTTTCTGTTTTACATTTAGTTTTCCACGACGCGAATACTCCTGCACAAGATACTGAATATATGGCTTAAATATGCAAATTTGTATTTTCAAAGACAAATTTGATACATGAATATTGCTCCGTGTATGTAATTACTTCCCTTTGTCTAGTAGTATGCACGTGCCAATGCATAATACAATCAATAATCACCATCCAGTCATCTAAGAACGCAAGAACTAACTGTTTTCCGATAAATGCGTCTTCCTACATATTATGTGTATCACTTATTAATTCGCACGTGCATACAAGACAACGTTACACCGGAAAAACCGTGCTTTTATAGGCACTTTCAAAGAAAACTAATAACTTCCTGGCAGCCAAGAATTTACTCGTCTCTTCCTAGTGTGTGAATTGAAACGTGTTTAATCGAATTCATTAAACGTAGGGGATTCGTTGAGATTATGTCGAAACAAATAACACCGGAAGATGTAATCCAGTTTACCCGGCTCAGTGTAGCTTTAAGCTTTTGTTGGCCATCTGCTGACAACAGCGGTAGTTACAAAATAGCACAAATCTGTATTGTCATCAACGCTTTCCTGATCCTCCTGCCTTCGTTGTACTCCATTTATTTGTATTTAGTCGATATAAGTTTTCACTTGGAGGCTCTCTTCAAATGTATCAACTTAACGATATACACCACGCAACTTATTATTCAAACTTGTATATGTTGGATAAAGCGCGACAAGCTGCAAGTAAGTTCGACCTCGCGTCCCTTCGTCAATTAATTCGCGTCGAAATCATTGATGTTCAAAATATGTTGTAGCGTATAATTGATGAGATGGTGAAATGCGTTAACGAGGCGCAGAATTTCGAAAGAGATATTTTCATGGCACATATAGTAAAATACAATATTATTTACGTTGGTTACGTAGTCGCTATATACGCGACCCTGACCTTTTTTATATTTGGACCTCTAGTCTTACCGATTCCAACCCTAGTGGAAGTGGAGTATCCGTTTCAAGTGAATTATACGCCAGTAAATTTTATCGTCTACTTGCATCACAGCAGCGCGTGCCTCGCTGTTACTGCACATTTATGCATAGGCGTGTTTGGTGCGCTTTTAATGTGGTTCGCTGCCGTAAGATTCGAATGTTTAGTCGTGGAAATTCAGAAAACTACGAACATTCGTATGTTAGTTGTTTGTATTAAAAAACAATTACACTTAAGAAGGTAAGAAGAATATTTTACCATGTGTGATTTAACAGAGACATTTGTGTTCGTTATAAACAATTTCCCTGTATCTAGGTACGCCAAGGAAGTGGTTGGTTGCTTTCGCTTCATAATACTTTATGTGTTGGGAATGACAACGTTTACTATAACTCTATGTGGGATTTTATTGATAGTGGTATGTCGATCTTCTGGTATTTTCTGTTCGGTATAATGAATCGGTGATACAATTTCGTAGAATTTAAATTAGGACATTTACAGGATTCACCAGTAACTACGAAAGTGGAGCTCCTCGACGCTAGTGCTTTCTGTCTCTTACTCACTTTCATGTATGCGTGGCCAGCTGATTATTTACAAGATGCCGTAAGTATTTGTGTGCGATAATTGTAAGACAAGTAACAAAGAAAAAGTTTATGAAACGAATAAAAGCATCTCGTACGTGAATTTTTGCGTTAAGAAATATATTTCCAAATTTAATAACATATCGGTACAAACTCACTCTGAGATGCAATCTGCTACGAAATTGTACTCCGTGTTCTTTGCACTCGAAATTGTAACTAACGATCTTCGAACCTGGAAACATATAGAAAGGTATATTTTTCTACGGATAAATAGTAAGTAAACGTCCACTTATCATGGCATCGTGGACATTCGATTGATTACAATTTTACGATAAGAAACGTCAGTTGCAAAAATACTTACAATACCAAACAAATTATGTTTTGTTATGTATAATTACGTATTTCGTTATGTACATAATTACGTATAATATTGTCTAATTTTTAGAGCGTTAACGTTTCCAGAAGCGTATACTGTATGGAATGGTACAAACAACCACTAGAAATGCAAAAGGACATACTCACCGTATTGGTCCATCAGAAACCAGTGACACTTTCTGTCGGTTGCTTTGTGCCAGAGCTTAATTTACGTTTTTATTGTTCGGTAAGGCAAATCAATATCTCCAATGTCAATCATGATGGTGAATAGATTATCGATATTTATGTATTATCATTCGTTTTGACAGTGTATATATTTACACATTTTCGTGCATTCTTACTTGTTGCGTATTTACATACACCCGTTATAAGTATGTAATGAGTCTGAGGGCAAGAAACTGGGAAATGAATAAATTATCCTGTTAATCAGGTCGTAACTGGGTAAAAAAAGTCTACGGTCGTGGAATTAAAACATAATGATGTCATTTTGTTCGGTCTTGGATCGCGTAAATGTAAATATGGGATAATTGATAGGAAGGTTAATAGGAAGAAATATGAAGAAAGCTCGCGGAAAAATATAGAGAATATTAAATGAAGATATTATGTTCAAGAGATTAGCAATGTCAGTGACACGTTATCTAGTTTCCCCTGATTAACAGGTTAATTACGAATAATACATATATAAATAACGGGTTGATATCATTTCAGTTCGTGTCCAACGCCTTCTCCTTTTGTACTGCTTTGCGTACCATTGTACAAGACCACTAGTATATCCTAAATACGTAAAATGTAGTGAAGACTAGAATATGATAAAAGGATACTCATGAAGAAAGAAATTCCAAACTAGTTGTTTCAATGAAAATATACATTAAAACTCATTATTTTCAGGATGCATGCGCACGAAGAAAACCGTTAATATTGCTGTAATATAATTTTGGATATTATAACAGCCGCGTTACTTACATTACGCTTTTTAATAGTGTTCTAATTACCCGTTGTGTAGGGTTACGGGTTGTCCATTATTTCTTCCATAGATGGTATTGAACAGACAGAGGACCGCGTCAAATGTCTTCGCGTTGGTTACGCTTGTAATCACAAATCACCCGTTTTTTACAACGATGTCATGAGAAATCATCCAGACTCATCCTCAAAGAGATATAAGTCGATACAACTACTAGATATTTAGATGGAAAACTTTGTTATTATCTTAGTCTTAGCTATACATATCGCTCAAGATACTAAATATATGGCATCGTGCACATATGCCACGTTGCATTTTCGAAGAAGGTTCTGCAACTTGAATATTGCCGGCTGTACGTAATAACGTGCCTTTGTGCCTCTCTAGTAACCAGAAACGTGCAAATGCATAATGCAATTAATAATTCTTACCATCGAAGCACCTAACAGTATAAGAACTCCGTACTTTCCAATAAACACGAGTTGTTCCTGCGTATTTTCAGTATCATTTATTGATTCGCACCTGCATACAAGGTAATGTTGTACCAGTAAGGCTATGATTACGTAGTTACGTTCAAAGAAAAGTAATAACTACCTGGCTCCCAAGAACCTGGACATATCTTCCTACTGTGCGAATTGAAACGTGTTTAGTCCGATTCATTAGATGTAAAAGTTTGTTGAGATTATGTCGAAACAAATAACACCGGAAGATGTAATCCAGTTTACTCGGCTCAGTGTAGCTTTAAGCTTTTGTTGGCCATCTGCTGACAACAGCGGCAGAAGCCGCGGCAGTTACAAAATTGCACAAATTTGTATTGTCATCAACGCTTTTCTGATTCTTGTGCCTTCGTTGTACTCGATTTATTTGTACCTAGACGATATAAGTTTTTACTTGGACGCTCTCTTCAAATGTATCACCTTAACGATATACACCACGCAACTAGTTGTTCAGACTTGTATATGTTGGAAGAAACGTGACTCGCTCCAGGTAAGTTCAACCTCGCGTCCCTTCAGCAATTAATTCGCGTCGGAAGCATTGATGTTTGAAACATGTTGTAGCGTATAATTGGCGAGATGGTGAAATGTGTGAACGAGGCGCAGCAGTTCGAAAGAGAAATTTTCATCGCACATATAGTAAAATGCAACGTCCTTTATAGTGCTTATGTAGTGGCTGTTTATACGTCGCTAACCTTTTTTATGTTTGGGCCTTTGGTCTTACCGATTCCAACCCTGGTCAATGTAGAATATCCGTTTGAAGTTAATTATACACCAGTAAATATTATTATCTACTTACATCACAGCAGCGTATGCCTCACCGTCACTGCACACTTATGCATAGGCGTAGTTGGTGCGCTCTTAATGTGGTTTGCCGCTGCAAGATTCGAATGTTTAGTCGTGGAAATTGAGAAAATTACGAATATTCGTATGTTGATCGTTTGTATTAAGAAAGAATTATTTTTAAGAAGGTAAAGATAATGTTTTATGTTGTTTGATGTAAGTTAGTCTTCGATGTAAGTTTGTCTTCGTTTTTAAGTAATTTATCTCTGTCTAGATACGCGGAGGAAGTGGTCGGTTGTTTTCGCTTTATAGTACTTTATGTCTTGGGAATGACAACGTTTACCATAGCTCTGTGTGGGATTTTGATGATAATGGTATGTGAATCTTCTGGTGTTTTGTGTATAGTATAAGGAATCGGTGATTCAATTTGTAAACAGGATTCTCCAATAACTACGAAAATGGAGCTCGTTAACTCTAGTGCCTTCTGTCTCATCCTCACATTCATGTATGCGTGGCCAGCTGATTATTTGCAAGACGCTGTAAGTATCTGTATGTGATTATTGTAAGGATAGTAACTGTAAAAAGTTTCATGCATCAGATAAAAACATCCCGTGAATATTTTCGAATTATTCGATAACACATCGGCACAGACTTATTGTCAAACCCAGGCCGAATCGAAATGGAACTTCTCGTCCTCCTCACCGGAAATTATTTCCAACTGTCGTCGGACTTTAAAACACATAGACTTCCATATAATAAATACGCAATAAAATATCCATCGTCGAAGCTGTTCGATTGATTACAATGTTGCGTCAAGATATTTCTATCTTGTACATAATTCCTTGCGTTATAAATTAAATTATATTTTTGTCGCGTATAATTAATCTTGCATAATTTTCAGAGTGTGAACGTCTCGCAAAGCGTATACGACATAGACTGGTACGAACAGTCTTCAGAAGTGCGAAAGCACATGCTCAACGTGTTGGTTCATCAAAAACCGGTAACACTTTCTGTCGGTTGTTTTATGCCGGAACTTAATTTGCGTTTCTTTTGTTCGGTAAGAGAAATCAATATCTCTTTTGTCAATTATAATAGTCAATAGACTATCGATATTTACGTAATGTTTTGTCAGTGTATATATTTTTATATTTCTTTGCATTCTTATTCTCTGCTTGGATATAAATATATAATATGCACTGGTCCGCAGAGAAGAAACTGTGAAGGGAACGAATTAACCTGTTAATCAGGTAGTCATTGAATAGAAGACTCCTACGATCATAATATTAAAGCTTACTAAATTCATCTTATTCGGTTTTCGACACTGCAAATGTAAACGTCGCATATGTAATTAGAGTTTGACGGAAAGCATGCAAAAATGTATAGAGCTCTAAATAAAGGTATTATGTTCGAGGGATTACCAATTCGAATAACGGTTACAATACCTTTCTCTGATTAACAGGTTAATTACGAATGTTATATATATAAATAACAAGTTGATGTTATTTCAGTTCGTGTCCAACGCCCTCTCCTTCTGTACAGCTTTGCGTGCCATGGTACAAGACGAGTCGATATAAGTGCGTCCTAATAACATAATACGTAATCAAGATTAGCAGTCACAATATAGTAATCACGAATCGAGTTTATAACTAATTGTATCAGTGAAAATATACATTAAACGTAATTGTCCTTTTTTATAATACATACGAACGTGTATGAATCGTTAGTATGCACAGTGATTGTCACATATGGCAAAATGTCACATGCCTTACCGTTTTTACATAATTATTTAGTTCGAGTAAAACATAGTTGTTCGATACGCATTTGCGATTTTTTTACGCTCCAATTCCTAGTCTTACCGATCCCAGGTATGGTGAAGGCAAAAAATCTTAGACAGTTTTTTCATTTCTTAAATAATTCTGTCTAAATAACCTCGAAATTAGGATGCGAAAATAAGTGTTCGTTAAATATTTACTGCTTCCCGGACTATGCCGACTTTATCATCTTTGGCTTGTGTTCACCGTAAAAAATGCAGAGGGCGTAAGAAACACTGCGATTTTTGTGCACGTCGGTATTTCAGAACCTGAGACAGGAAGTCTGTACGTACGTGCGACAAAACTGCGAGTTCCTAATGTCAAACAGGCAAAATGTACATGACTACTGGTGGAAATAAAATTAAATTGAAAAAGGTAAGAAACATACTTGTTATCATACGTTCGATGCTTTAGTACGTGTACGTTGTACCAGGTGACGCTAGTCGGATGATCAGTGGATCGTTGAACGAAGCGCAGAAGCGGGTATTATTTCTGATAGTTGTTCCTCGTTCAATGCTGACGATGACCGATTTCGTCGGTAACGTGGTACGATGTTACATAAACATCAAACGGCGGTGCTTACGTAATTGGAGGTTTAAGGCACCGGGAGAGGTGCGCATAACGCAACGAATAAACCGTTCGTCGTAAGCGAAATATTTACACGCTCATGTAACCAACCTCTTACGCGCGCGAATGGCTGTACCGACCCTCTCCTATATGTATAATGCGACGCTACAAGGTAAGAAGACCCGTTTCGTAACGTGCCGTGAACGTTTCAAAGTCAGCGATTCCGTTCCTCTCGCACATCATGTTTGATTACCAACGAAAGCCAAACAAAAATAAGGATACACGTTGGCCAATGAGCTTGTTCGTTTATCGAGAACCGCGAATTTTCTCAAACGTAATACCTGAAAGTAGATTAGGGATTTTAATAGCCGCGTCTTCGTTCGAATTTACATAACGTTCGGATAATTTCTATTCGTTCCTCGAATACTCAGGAAAAGTCTACCAATTATAACTCCGTCTAAGATTAAGAAATTCCTTTAGGTCCTATAAGTATTCCGATATCTTAATTTTAACCTATTAAATCGATCATAATGTGATCGAAGAAACGTAACTTTTATTTTAATTTTCAACGAGCATCATATTCCAATAATAGCAATTACTCGCTAAAAATTGCATCGAAATTATGTTATTAGATAGTTAGATCATAGATGTCCCCTATAGCGGTTAGCAGGCGGGGAAAACAGAGCGCGCGAAACGCGAGGTCAACTTTTACCCCACGAATTGTGCAACAGTCAGCCGCACCATGACCAGTTTCGTTTATTTTCTTCACGTAACCCAGATACACACCGGCTATCGACGAATATCCTGAATATCGACAATTTGTAACACTTCTCTCTCCCTTCTCGCGCCTTGTAATCAGCAGCGTTTACGTAATGTCAGTAATATAACCAAATGTATGTAACGCTTGCATAAGGTAAACCCCTACCCTGCCTACGCGCCGACTGACGGCGCACAGCCACGGCATAATCTATTGTTTGGCAATAGTTATAGTTCGTTGTGTAACGGACTAGTTAATGGAGACGATCGATAGGTAACGCGGCGCTGCGTTCTCCGATTATGCGACGAAAGCAAAAATTTAGAGCGACGAAGGAACAAGTAGATCCGCGAGATGCGCACAACGAAGAAAGACGTATAGAGGGAGTCCCGAGTCTTGTTTCGACGACAGGCGTGTTAATGAATCTGTATGTCTGTAGTTATCAAATCGCGAATACGATCCGTATAATTTGAAAAACCACGTAATCTGAAACATTCGAACAGTTTAAAACTTTTCACCCGATACATAGAATCCTTGCTTCGAACATTCTGTTCAGATATTTGAAGTTCCTGGTGACTTTTGTCTTTTAAATGAGGTTATATCGCAAACGTTTGAAGTTAAACGAAGGAAGACGAAGATAGCACGAAGAAAATGACGAAACCTCAGCTTCCTTCGATCTTGAAATAATAAGACGTTTTAAATAAAGGAAAATGATACTCGTGACGTAGCAATAGGAATAAAAGACTTCTAATTATCTGTCCTGTGCTTTTTATAGGAATCTTGTTTATTTGTTTCTTGCAAATAGAGAAGGGCAAGTTTACAGGAAAGAACTCGCGTTCGATTCGTTCTCTAATCTCGTTGTTTCACCCAGCTGAATGTAGACTAATGATTTCGCGCGTGCCCCCTCAACGAGTCACGTTACGGATGCAATAAAGCTACAGCACAGATTTTTACGCGATCGCGGATGATCGATCAGACTTTGTAAATACGTAACGAGAATTTAATGAATGTTACCATAGAAATCACGTAACCCGATGCGTCTTCGTCGTTGATTACGCCGTTTTGTAATTATTCCTTTGTTTTACGTCTGATAACGATTAATGGGATAACGATTATAGGTTCCTTTTTTATTTGGTTGCATGATGTGATTCCGAAGCGAGGATTTTTGCCTCTTACGATATTGATAAACTACTTGTATAGAATCCAACATGTTATTTATTAACAAACGTTATATTATATACGTTTAATAGTATTTTAAATCAGAGGTCACAGATAATTCGCAAAACGAGTTTGGTTAGCGTTCCCTAAAAATTACATTTGAAATAAACAAACCATAGAGACGAGTAGGATATAGTAGGGGAAATAGTTCCCTAAAGAGAAGCGACCTCTGTGTGAAAATTACAAAAATCTACGTTTTCCTAAGATACAGTTGGTTTCCTCCTGATTAAAAAATTTATTTTTAACGTATTATATTCATCGACGTATAGATATCATACGCAATATAAATAAATAAATAGATTTCACGCTATGATATGCTAGCTTCATTGCTATGTTATACAATACGTTTAACAACGTCTTATAGTATACTATTTTTATAAGCAATCTATTTTTAGAGATTCCATTGTTTTTCTGCATAGTAAATTTATCGAGGGGATAAATGCGAAATTATCAACTCTGAACACGAAAGGAAAACATTACGAAACTGTCTGGCGATGAGTTTAAGTGACGTCCACACTTCTTAATGGTCACTTTATATAACAATTCTACGCCACTCAATATCTCGAGCGAACCACTTGCTTCTTTGGCACTAAACGCAAACGCGTACAATATTATTCTGTTTGCTTATTGAGTCTACGTAAATGCACTAGGGTATTCCAGACGCGTAATTCGTCGTACATGCACTGGCTGATTGTAACTAATGAAAAGAAAGCAGGTTCCGTCGTAAACGGAAAATCACGAGGATAAATTTGATTCGTTTGATTAACGCCTTAACGTAAGTACAATAAAATGATTAAGTGAGATTATCTCGCTTTATAGAGATTATATGTTACACATACTTTTTATGTTCATTCTTCTTTTATTAATATTCGTTAAACAGACTGTACGAACTATAATATCATACAAAGGTCTCCTTATTATTCGCAATTTCTTTTCGTTGTCTACAAAGAAAATATTGCTTTTCTTCAAAATCACTTCTTCTTGTTAATCATAAGTATTTTGTAATTTCCGTAGTTTACTTTATCAAGAATTAAAAAGGCCATACATAGAACAGTATATACTGCTAGCTTCTAATTTATTAATGATTCAAATCAACGACAAATTTAATACAAATCGTCGAAATTCGTTCAAGATCAAGCGACATATCGATAGAAATCGCAACGAAAGAAATAATTATCATCATTGCGGGTACCACTTTGCCACGATAATGATTGTGCCATCATTAACTTACACGACAATGATTACATTTACCACGGCTGGAAACTCGCAGAGCTCGTAGGAGTTGATTAATCTCAGTGATGCACGCGACCGCCCGACAGAACACGATACCGACATTTAAAACAACATGCGATCTTTACCTTACTTTACTTTACGATCTGTCTTGAACGCTGTCTGTCTTTTTTCCGTGTATATCTTCGCGTACATAGGCGTCTATAAAACAGGTAGGCGCCATAATATAGAAACGTATTCAAGAGAGACACGCAGTGAAAAATTAACTCATTTTGTTTTACGTGTTTCTCATTATGAAACAGTGACCGCAGCTGTCAATGCCAGCTAATAGAAACATCGCGTTACTGAATTTAAACGACAAATAAAGTATTCGTTCGATAAATACATTCGATACAAAACAAATATTATCTCTGTATTTTTCTATCAAACGACTTCTATCAACGACTTCTATCAAACTTAGATCTTCGATCGTGTGAAATGACTTTCATTGTTTTAACATTTTTTCGTATTTTCTATTTTATAATAATTTTTTGATAAAGAAGATTGTTTATTAACGGGCTCGAGAAGTTCGTAGAAAGTTCTTTCGGGCGATCTACGATCGTAGTCTCTCGTTTTTAATTATAAATTAGATTAGATATTTATTCGATTGAGGCTATGTACAGAAATTTCATTTTCCTAAATACAACGCTAGTGTCGTAGATAGTAAATTGCCTTTCATTATCCAAATTATTGCTCGATATATCATTCATCGAATCAACCGGCAAGTTCTATGATTCCTATAAATGTCTCGTTCCTTCTGATTTATGCGACTACGTGTAATTTCAGCGTCGGATGCAGCTGAGTGTCGCAAGAACATCGGGGTTAAGAGTTTTCTAATCGGATTTGTCGAAAGCTGTGGTTCTGCAACCACCATAATCTGCATTGCAACGCAGTTAAACTGATTGCTCGGATGTACCAACGATCGTTTCGTCTGTATATCGTTGCTATAATACCT